GCTGTGTCTCCCGCAGACCTTCCGCCCCGCGGCCATGCTGGTGGAGCGCTCTGCCGACTTCGGGCGCAGCTGGAAAGTCTACCGCTACTTCGCCTATGACTGCGCCGCCGCCTTCCCCCACGTCCCGCGTGGGCCCCCGCGACGCATCGACGACGTCGTCTGCGAGTCGCGCTACTCCGACATCGAGCCCTCCACCGAGGGGGAGGTGAGGCCCTGGCAGCACCCCAGGAGGGTCGGAGGGCTCCCCACTCTCCTCTCACCGCCCTGCTGTCCTCCTCCAGGTGATCTACCGGGTGCTGGACCCTGCCATCCCCATTGGGGACCCCTACAGCCCTGCCATCCAGAGTGAGTTGCCTGCCCCAGGCTCCTGCCTGGCTGCTCTATTTTGGGCACAGCTATTTTGGCTGCTCTCTCCCTGCTCTGAGCCCCACAGTGGGGTCAGGGCTGGATCCAGCGTCTGGAGGCTCAGGCCCCTCCTGCACCCCCTCCTCCATGGGAGCAGCTAAAGGTCGGGCTGCATGGGGTGAGTGGAGGGCACCGGCTATGCCGGAGCCGTGCCAGAGCTGAGCCCAGCGCTGAGCGGCGGCTGCAGTGCAGGATGCAGTTGGTGATGGGCAGCAGAGTTGGGCTGGGTGCAGGACGCAGTGGGTTAATAACTCAGTGCTAAATTTAGGCTGGGAGCAGGACGAAGGAATCTGCAGGGCAGGGCTGCTGGGAAGCTGGAGTCCCAGGGAGCCATGTCCTGTCCTGCCTGAGGCCCTGGCACAGCCGTCCTCTGGGCCCGGCTCCCTGCGGTGGGTGCCCTGACTCCCAGAGAGGTGCCCCTGCCCAGGGTGTTCCAGCCCACACCTGCTGGGGGACCCAGGAAAAACCATGTGCGCAGCAGCCAAACCACTATGGCTATGTACAGCCCAGCCTGGCCACATGCAACCACGTGCATGTGAGCCAAACAGCCCCATGCCAGTAAGTTGTGGCGCAGAAAGCCACGCGTAGCCCAGTCTGATGGTGCGTAGCCCTGCATGGATGCCTTGTGCCATGCACAGCCTGGCCCGACCATGCACGGGCGAGCTGAGCCGTGCCCGCCCCACCGAGCCACCCACAGCCCTGTGGCCACGCGCAGCAGAGCCACGCGTGGACAAGCCCAAGCACCCCGTGCCAACGCAGGTCTCTCCCCACCACAGACCTGCTGCGCGTCACCAACCTGCGGGTGAACCTCACCAAGCTGCACACACTGGGGGACAACCTGCTGGACACGCGTCGGGAAATCCAGGAGAAGTACTACTACGCGCTCTACGAGCTGGTGCTGCGCGGGAACTGCTTCTGCTATGGGCACGCCTCTGAGTGTGCCCCGCTCAGCGGAGCCCCTGCCACCGCCGACGGCATGGTAGGGCGAGCCAGCCCCTCATGCCCTGCCAGAGATGGGTAGCTGTGCTGCCCTGTCCCTCGGCCCCTCACTGTGGCGTCCTGGCAGGTGCACGGGCGCTGCGTCTGCAAGCACCACACACAGGGGCTGAACTGCGAGCGCTGCCAGGACTTCTACCACGACCTGCCCTGGCGCCCGGCCGAGGGCTACAGC